TGACGAGTAAAACGAGAATGAATTTTAGTTGATGGAACTAGAGATGATAACTCCTTTGAGCAATGACCATGATAGTATCTGTAGAAAAGAGAAAGAGATGCAACTTTACGATGATGGGAAAGAGGTTCAAGCTTAGCAGATAGTCCAGGTCCAACAACATTTGCAATGCGTTTTTGGACCTTGTCAAGAAGAGAAAGTGAATCGTTAGAAGAACCAGCCCAAATATGACATCAGTATTCCATACAGGGACGAATAAGAGATTTGTAGAGGTAGAGAATGGAATCAGAAGTAAGGAAATGGCGAGCACGATAAAGAGAAGCAACCTTAGCAGAAGCTAATTTAGCAATCAATTGTATATATGGTTTCCATGAAAGGTCAGTAGTAAGCGATAATCCAAGAAGACGTAAGGAGGAGGACTCAGTAAGAGGATTGCCATTCATTAATATAGGATTGTTAAACATATTACGGTAGTTGTTTACAGTAAGCAATTGGGTTTTTTTAGAGTTGAAATTCACAAGCCACTGTGAACCCCAATCTATTACTGAAGTGAGATCAGATTCAAGATCAGCTGCTTGTTCTAGGCGATCGAAAAGAGAAGACGTTTTGTCAAGACAGGAGTATAAAGTTGAGTCATCAGCAAAAAGAGCTACTTTAGATGAAAGGTTGTCAGGAAGATTGTTTATGTAGATAAGAAACAAAACAGGGCCCAAGATGGAACCTTGGGGAACCCCAGAAGTTACTGGAAATAAAGAAGAGTGTTGGCCTTCAAGGATGACTTTAATAAACCGGTTAGAAAGAAATGATTTGATAATCTCAAAAACTTTTCCAGAAACACCATATGAAGCAAGCTTATGGAGAAGACCAGCATGCCAAACTTTGTCGAAAGCTTTAGATATGTCGAGAGCAATAGCCTTAGCCTCACCGCCTCCATCTAATGCACGATAAAATTTTTTAGTTACAGCAGTTAGCAAGTCGGCCATAGAGCGAGAGGATCGAAAACCGTAATGATTGTCTGACAGCAGTTTATTTGACTCAAGATGAGATGTGAGGAATTTGTTGATCAACGACTCAAAGACCTTGCTAATAACAGAAAGAAGACTGATCGGACGATAATTGGAGGGGTCATAATTTTCTCCAGAGTTTTTGAATATTGGAACCACAGATGCCATTTTCCAACAAGCAGGAAAACAAGACTCAGTCAAACACTTGTTAAATAGTTTAGAGAGAATTGAAGAAAGTTCTGGAGAACAATTCTGCAAGACTGTGACAGGAATGTTGTCTGGACCACAAGCTGTAGACGAGTTTAATTGAGATATGACTTTAGCAACAGAAGCCGGAGTGGTTTGAATGTCTAACAATGGGTCAACCTGTTTGACTGGAATGGAAGGAAGAGAATGTCCATAAGATTCAAGAGTGGAATTAGAAGAAAAGTTCTTTGCAAACAGTTCTGCCTTATCCCTGGAAGAGGTAACAAGATCAGTCCCATGAATGAGAGATGGAATGTTAAATCTACCTTTGTTAACAATGCTGTTGAAGATTTTCCAAAAGTCTTTAGAGCCTAACTTCTGCGATAAGATGCGAGATTTAGTGAACTGAGAATAATGGAGTTTAGCATCAGAAAGCACCTTTTTACATCGATTTCTTGCAATAATAAATAGCCATTTGTTCTCAAGAGAGTTGTTCTTTTGAAAAAGATGAAAAAAATGATTACGATTGGATATAGCAGCCGCACAAGAAGGAGAAAACCATGGAGTAGAATGAGGCTTGACTTGAAACTGAAGAGAAGGAATAAAAGCTTCCATTCCAGCCTGTATCCAGGAGGTTACGTAGGAGGCGAATTTGTCAGCTGAGAGAGAAAAAACATCAGCCCATTTATCAGTTTTATAAACTAATTTCTAATAAATAACTTACACCCACTGACTAATTAATTACAAGGCCTGTACCAATCAGCATCAGCCAAAAGTAGGCATTGGTGCACCCCTAACATTTATGTGTATGTGTGTAAATGCATGTGGAAAAAAAAATCTATGTAACTAGGTAACAATAGAAAAATATAATTATAATTATATTTTTTTGTATTTTTTAATTTTTATAATTATAAAAAAATGAAAAAACTGTTAGTGAATGTTATTATTTAATTAGGTTTGTAGCTAGCTATGTAATCTTTTAGTAAGTGTTTTAGTAAGTAAAATTCAGATTGTTTATTAAGTAGTTTAGGTTTACATCAGGTGTACATCAGGTTTCAAATAAGATAGCAAGTTTTTCATTTAGGCAAAGGTGACACTTTTTTGAAATGTTTGAAAAGGGGGAATGGATTTTAAAATAGACAAGGCAAAAGTGGGGATTTTGTTAAATTTGCTTTTCAAGTCCTAAACATAGCTAAATAGGGCTGTTGCTTTTGATAGATTTTGTTCTTGAAGGACGGTTTGTGGTTGTAGTATCTTGTTTACCACTCACCTTCTGTTAATCCGATATAGACTTTTAGGCTGGTTTTTAGCGGTGACAATGCATTTGTAGAGACATTTTTAATAAAGGGAGGATTAAACCATATGATATTTCGTTTTCTATTTCTTTTGGTTGGTTTTTGCTTGATGGTGAACTTCAAAGCAAGATTTTTGTATCCTGATGTTTTTAGTGTCTTCTCATATTTAACTTTACTTCGTTAAACATTGTTTCATTTAGCGAATTTTGTATTAATCTGTGGGAAATTATTAGCGCCAAAAGAACCTTTTTACATTGGCTTCTTGCAATAATAAAAGAACATTTTTCTAAAGAGAGACATTCTTGTAAAAAAGATGAAAAAAATGATTACAGTTTAATAAAACAACTGCTAAAGATGGCTGTTAAAGATTGTAGAAAATGTGGAATAGAATTAGTAGAATAAAATTAAAGAAAAAGAATAAAAGCTTCCAAACTTTTATTCCAGAAGGAATAAAAGCTTCCAAGATGCGTACATAATATGAGTATAAAGATTAAAGTGATTTAGATATCAGCATGTAGAGAGGTAGCAGCTTAAGGAGACAATGATAGTGGTAAAAGTAAAAAAACATGAAGAGAATGTCTTACATATTGTATGAATGAGCTTTAGTTAAGGAAAAAAAATGCTCTAGATTAGTTTATATTAGATGTTTATAGTGGAGAAACAATTATAGTGGAGAAACAGCATAAATAAGGCTAAACCCATTATCATGATCATCATAATCAAGGATGAATCATAATTAATGAGTTTTTAAAAAGAGTGTTAATGTAAAACAATTGTGTATTTTTTTATAAAATGAAAGGTAAATAATTTGTTTTTTATTTTTTATGGTTTTTTACACATGTTTGGGTCCTTTAATTTTTTTTTTTTTTTTATATTAAAGCCATATAATTATGTAATTAACTTAAATTAATTAACTTATGTAAATGTAAATTAACTAATGTAAATAAAATATTAATAAAAAAGCATGCAACATTTTAAATGTTGTAACTTAAAAAACCTAAAAACAACCTAAATAAAAATTAAAAAAAAGAAATATTTTCAGCTTAAAAATTTTAACTTAATGCAGAAAGAATAATAAACTTCTGCTGGAAAGTTTTTTCTTTCAATAAGTTATTTTGTTTAATAATTTTTAATGACACATTTGTTTATAACTTAACCAAAAATAGTGTCTTTAAAGCAGTTTATGTTGATTTTTTAAACTTATTTTCTAAATAAGCTTAAACAGTTAACATTAGATTTTTTTATTTTTGAGTTTACTCTTATTTTCTTAAAACTATCTGCTTCAGCTTGAATCATTTTAATGCCAATAATTGCTGGTATCTAATATATACTTATATACAAATATACATGAATTATATACAAATATACATGAGTTATATACAAATATATGTGAATTATATACAAATATATGTGAATTATATTATTTCTACTTTTATTGTACACTTTTACATTTTTTGCATAATTTTGTTTTTTATACAATTTATTATAACTTTATTTACCTGTAGAATCATATAAACAATTAATATATAATATTTACTATATTATTTACTATATTATATATTCTATACTATTTACAATATTATATACTATATATTCTAAAAGAGAGATCTAATGGTTTAGTTTGTCACCTTTTTTAATAACAGCTTTTTTAAACAGAATATACACAGTTTTTACTGTCAGTTCACATTTTAGAGGATATAATATAGAATTTAAAATGTATTATAATATAAAACTTACATAATTTTATTTTCAATTATTATGATCAACATTTTTACAGGGTTATCCTACCTAGACAATAAACACAATTTTGTTGTTTAGCAAAAAAGTAACAATTGTTTAAATCTGTTTTTCTAAATTTCTGAAAGTAAATATAAATTTTCTCGAAAAAGTTTTTAAAAAGTTTTTAAAAAAATGTTTTTTTATGGTTACTTAAACATAGACATATTTGGATTAAATTTTTGTTTGTTTGTTTTTTTATTTTTTATTTTACTTGACAACAACTTTTCATCAAGTAACTTGACCACAAATTTGATTTTTATTTTTTACCTCACATAATATCACTCTTCTTTAGCCAAAACTGTAAATTAGTATTTGCTAGGTATATATCAAAATGTGGATACTTTATATTGGTGCAATATCGATGACAACATTTGATACTTTAAAAAATTTTAATGCAACTTTAAAAATAATGTACAACTAGCCAACATTTGATAAATAATGTACCAATATTGCACCAATGTTGCACCATTGTTGCACCATTGTTGCTTGCTACTAGGGAACCTAATCACAACTCTTCCTCTTATTTCTTGTATACTGTTTAATATAATAATATTGTAACATACCAATAATTAGCAATAATTAGCAATTAAAAATCTCATTGTAGAGACCAAAAAGTAGAAAATAAAAATAGCGAAAACATTTGGTAAAAATATAATATTTTTTGTACTAAAGAGCAGAAAATAAACTTTTTAGTTTAATAGTTCAGTAAACCAAAGATTGACAGGTCTCTTTCAAAATG